AAACAGAGCAATCGTTATAGAACCTGAAACAGTGCTGAGTGGAGAGGAACCAGTCTGCCCAATACACCTTACCCTAACTTCAACATCCTATAAAGAAGTTAAAACGATAATAAACTCCCTAAAAGCCAAAACATCAAGTGGAATAGATGAGTTTTCCTCTAAGATGATAAAGCACTGCTCTCAAGAACTCATCTCTCCTCTGGTTTATCTTATAAATAAATCATTTAAAGAAGGCAAATTCCCATCCGCCATAAAAGTCAGTAAAATATACCCCAAACATAAAAAAGGACCAACTGAAAATGCTCAAAACTACAGGCCCATTTCTCTCATCTCCAGTTTCTCTAAAATCATAGAAAAAATTGCTCTGGCTAGATTAATGGCACATCTTAATCATAACAAACTCTTAACTGACAACCAACATGGCTTTCGGAAGAATAAATCTACATCCTCAGCTATAACAGCACTAATTGAGTACGTCCTAGACCAGATAGAAAACGAACAATACATTTCCGCCATCTTCCTTGATTACAGTAAGGCTTTTGACTGCCTGGGCCACGACCTGATATGCAAGAAACTTGAAAGACTCGGTATAAGAAACTCTGCGCTAGAATGGTTCAAAAGCTACCTAACGGGACGTTCACAAGTCGTGGAACTGAAAAACTCATCAAATGAAGTCACAGAAAGTTTAAAATCTTCAAAAAGCAAGCTGACAAGAGGAGTTCCACAAGGCTCTGTATTAGGCCCGATTCTATTCATCTTATTGACTAATGACTTCCCCAAACAAATTGAGAGTGAAAATGCTGTTGCAATCATGTATGCAGATGACACAACCATTTTGATCAAGGACAACACAGCCCAAAGCCTTTACCTTAATTCAAAATCGATCTTAAATAAAGCTATCCTCTACTCAAAGAACAATGACTTAGCAATAAATCCCACAAAAACTACAACTCTGAATTTCAGTAAGAAAAAAGACATAGTCCCTCAATTAGAGGATGTAACAATAGAAAACTACACAAAATTTCTCGGTGTTATCCTTGATAACAAACTGACATGGAAAGAGCACATCTACCACCTAAGCAAAAAAATCAGTACTGGAATATATGTCGTCAGAAGGATAAACTACATAGGCGGACTCTCTGTGGCCAAAACAGCTTACTTCGCACTGGTAGAGTCGCATCTTAGATATGGCTTGACAGTGTGGGGAGGAACTTCAACAAAAAATATGAATCGAATTCTTGTCCTTCAAAAGAAAGCCATAAGAGCCCTCGCCAACCTTGTACCACCACAGACTTGCAGACTAGCATTCGTAAACCTAGGAATCCTCACAGTAGTGTCTCTCTACATACTTGAAACCATTAAGTATGTGAATGAAATAAACCCCCCAAGAAACCAAGACCTGCACCACTACAACACCCGTCATGGCTCCAAATTTGCACTACCAGTTCACCGAACAACTCTTTGGGAGAAAAAACCTTCCTACACCGGCTGCAAGCTGAGGAACCATCTACCTGACTACCTGAGAGACCTGACTGGCAACAAGCTACACCAGGAGCTGAAGAAGTGGCTAATCGAATCGCAAGACCCTTCTACTCAATAAAGGAATTTTATGAAAATTAACATGTACAATTCACTATTGTATTGACACTATTGTAATTCTTGACGATTTAACAATAAAGAATATTGTATTGTATTGTATTGTATTGTATTGTACTATCTTAACATTATTTGACTTCAGTAAAGCCTTCGATACCGTAAACCATAGCATTCTTCTAGCCAAACTCAAACTGTTAGGTTTCTCTGATAATTCATTAAAATGGATGAGATCATATCTTCAGAGCCGAAAGCAGTGTGTTTCTCATGACAACTTGACGTCCGACTGGAGACATGTTCCCTGCGGAGTTCCCCAGGGTTAAATTCTTGGTCCTCTGCTTTTCACCATTTACATCAATGACATCAGTACAGTTCTACACCACGCAAAGTTTCATTTGTACGCTGACGACTTGCAAATCTATTCTCATTTTAAAGTGAGCGATGCAAATGAAACTATAAACATGATGAATCACGACATCAACAGAATTGTTCAATGGGCAGAAAAGAACGGACTTAGACTCAATCCTGACAAAACAAAGCCAATCATCATAGGTCACTCACGGTTACTCAACAAAGTGGACTTAGACATTTTACCAAAAATCACTGTAAACGGAACCACTTTGCAATACCAGGACAAAGTAAAAAGTCTTGGTTTGACTCTAAACCGCACATTGGACTGGACTGACGCAGTGGTAAGCACTTGTAAAAGAGTGTTTGCCGCTGTTCACACACTGAAGAAGATGCAACGACTTCTACCTTTTCACATTAAACTCTTACTGGTCAAATCACTCGTGTTTCCACACTTCAACTACTGCAACACCGTGGTTAATGATATGACTGTGGCTTTGGCAACAAAATTACAACGTGTACAAAATTATTGTGTTCGATTCTTGTTCAATCTTAGGCGTGATGACCATGTCACACCCTATTACATTAATGAATCAATTTTGAAATTAGAGGACGTCAGAAAAATACGAATACTTTCCATTACTCATTCAGTCATCAATCTTGGAATTCCAAATTATCTTGCAAAGAATTTTTAATTTTTGAATGGAAGAGGCGCAAGGGATACCCGCTCTGGCTCGTCCACGCTTCGCATTCCTCATCATAGAACAACTGTTTATAATAAATCATTTTTAGTAACAGCCTGCCGCCTATGGAACTCCATACCTCTGCCCATCAAATCTATAGAAAACCGATCCCGACTGATGGTGGCGCTGAAAGAATATTACCTTGACCAGATGGCCGTGGCTTGGCGGGATGGCGTGCGTTAGGCCTAGATGCAGCAGAGGGTGTATGTGTGTGTGACTGGATGTTAGGGAAAATGAATAGATTTATGCTATTTTATTACTAGCTATGTTACAAACTTAATTGTATTTTTTGTTATTATTTTGTTGTTATAATTAGTTTTTTAGAGGTTAACTGTAAGAAAGGACCATGTGGTCCTAAGTTCGCCTCAATAAAGAAGCATTTTCATTTCATTTCATTTCATTTCATTTCATTACCGTACGACCAATGCACAAAAAAATTCCAATAAGTTAACTCATTTAGCAATAGTTTACTAGCCTAGCCAATTATAATTATATGACTGTTATACCAATGTTTATGTTTTTCAGTGTCTTATGCCCATTAAAGAATCAGAAAACACACTTGCTCGAAATACAGATGTACACAGGTATAAGACTAGATTCTGTAGGCTATTTAAATATATTCACTTAAATATAGGTAATAGATTAAGTAAAACTCAACAATGCTTCCCTGTTACAGGTATCAAGTTCTTTAACTTGCTACCAGATCAAGTGCAATCTCTATCTAATTCAAAATTATCTTGAAGAAGTGGCTATTGTCTAATCCTTTTTATTCTATCGGCTACTTCTAGATTATTATGACGCAATGAAGCATCCCATTTATTGTACCTTTGAATAGGAATCTGCAAGGTATGAAGTAGGCTTTTATTTATTTTACCTAACCCGCCATGTTAAACTTCCCTATCCCAAGCGTGATGTATATAACTTCGTTACTTCTCGAGTGATGTAAAGTTGAAACAAACTCACTCGGTGATGTAATGAAACCCATTTAAATCACATTGAGTGCTTAACTTAAAAAATATACCTCTATGGAGCCAACGACGTTCAACGCTAGAAATCAGCTGTGCGCTTGAATTTTATCGTAATGTTTTGAAGAATTTTCCTAACCTAGCTTTTGTTTGTAAATGAACGTTACTGTTAGAAGATGAGTGAAATGGATAATGAAAAATATTGTTCGTAACCTCCTGTATATTGTCGGGTCAGGTAAAATCTTGTACGTTACACGTTACGCAAGAGCGTGTTTACATCACTTCGGTAAATTATGCAACTCGCTTCCGCTCGTTGCACAACATTCACCTGCGTGATGTAAAAACCCTCTTACTACACTTGTAAGGTAAATAGCTATTACCTAACCCGCCATGTTAAACTTCCCTATCCCAAGCGTGATGTATACAACTTCTTTACTTCTCGAGTAAAGATATTGGAAAATAAAGCTTTGATTTGATTTGATTGATGTAAAGTTGGAAAAACTCACTCGGGTCGAGGTAATGAAACCCATTTAAATAACATTGAGTGCTTAACTTAAAAAATATACCTCTATGGGGCCAACGACGTTCAAAGCTAGAAATCAGCTGTGCGCTTGAATGTTATTGTTACGATTTAAAGTATTTTCCTAACCTAGCTATTTTGCTTGCTTGTCCACCTGCATGGCTTTTCTGCATTATTTTGTAGTTTATAGTTTTTGCAGCTTTAATTTATTCTGTATTTTTTTGGTTTATCATGTGACCAGATTGATGCATGTTAGTCAAGATTAAAATTGGACTATAGTTTTGTAAGTATGACAATACCTATTGTATTGGCTGCACTTTAGTATAGCTGTCCTACACTCATTCGAATTAAACTTTTTGAGTACACTGTTGGCACAAACAACCGAATGATTAATATTGTTAACCTAACCTAACTAACCAAACGATATAGGCTATAAAATTAAACAATCGATTTATCAATAGGCCTATTACTCATTTGGTTGTTTGTGCCAAAAGAAACGGAAGTGTACCCGCTATTAATATATAGATTAAGGTATTTCGTTCATAGGCCTATATCAAGTTTGGTTAGTTAGGTTAACCTAACCAATCAAAATGAAATAATCGATATATTGGTTCAAATGAGTGTAGGACATATACTTAGGCCTAATAAAGTGCAGCCATTGTATTATTTGTACCGAATGGCAAGTAAAATCATTTATTATTTAACTGAGTAAGATGACCTTAGGTGTGGACTAACCTAAGGCAGGCCGGATCTAGCCGGCCCCAAATTAAATGTGCATCTCAACTGTTCCAATCATGTGTAGGCCTTTTGCAATTAAAATTCATAACTTACCTCTTCAATAGTAGCAGAAGGTAGTATATTCAATAATTCATACAAATCAATTTTCATTAAGTCCTCCATGGTTTCAGCAATTAGGACTAAGAAGAGACAAACGAATAAAAATTGCACCTAACCTAACCTCTATTTTTAACCTAGCACAGGATAAATGTTAATATCACTAGACTAGACGATTGATTGGTTACGTTTTTCTATGTCACAGATGCCAGAATAGCAAAATATTTTGTTGTTGAACTTTCTACGTCTCTCTAGAAACCTTCCTACACAAATTTAACATTCAAACAAACCAATTTAACATATTCGTTTGTTTTGCTGTAGTCGTCTCTCCTCTTCTCTCTCTTCTCTTCTCGAATACGAGTACGACTTCTCACTCGTCTCGTCTTCTGCTTTTCTTTACTGCAACTGCAGCAGAATTCTTCTTTTTCTTTTTCACTCCAATGACTGAACAGTACCATCCATAGATAAAACATAATCAGTCTATCTATGACAGTACCATTAAAATGTGCGGTGGGGCACACGGGAGGGACTAAGGCTAACATATCTTGTAGTGTCAGCGTTCGCCGCTAGAACTGCTAAGTTGAAAAATTTTAAATTATTTTTTTTTTAATTTTTAGTTAATAAATTAACTTTTTAATTATAAAATATCGTTTCAAAATTATAAAATAAATTTTCAATTTTTAAAATTAAACTGTCATAACATAACCTGAGCAACCAGACTTGCTGATAATATAAAAACTATAGGCCTATAAGATAAAAATCTAATTAATGATTACTTATAATTTTTAATTAATTTTAAAATTTTGTATTATAAAATTAAACTGTCATAACCCAGACAGCACACTTTATCCCAGGGACATCCCATAGTAGTCCCATATGTCCTGAGAATGTCTCGGGATATGTACGCTATCCTCAGGATATCCCGCAAAATCCCGGGACGAGTACGAAATCCACAGGATATCCTACAATATACCGTAATGTCCCGGGATTTGTAAGTTAACCTCAGGATATCCTGTAAAGTCCCGGGATATGTACGAATGCCATAGGATATCTCAGAATGTCCTATGACATCCCGGGACATGTACAAAATCCACTGGATATCCTGTAATGTCCCGTAATGTCCCGGTAACAAACTAAAGAAAAAAAATACTACCACTGATGAAATGTATATCTAAATTTAAATGTTCAACAAGGCCAATATATAATAATTTGTTTTTTTCACTAGCGCTTTCAGAAACTAGGTTTCCATCTTCAGGCTGTGATTACACTAGTACAAAAAGTAAATATTTACTTAATAAATTAATTTTAAACAAAGTTAAAACAGATGATTTAAAAGATATTGGAAAAATAAAAATAATATTAGAAAAAATATTAATCTTTTGAATTTTGGATACCTATACAGTGTTGTTCTTGATGTAATTATTTTCAGTAATTCCGAATTTATAATTGGGCCGTCTTCATTATTTAAAAAATAATTTTGGTCTGTTTATTTTTCTAAAAATAAGATTCCCACGCATTAAGATGTTGAGGTTATATAATTTGTTTTAAAAGTTTAAGGTTTCCCAGGTTGAAAATATGTCTTGTTAATACTGTGGCTAGCAAGGGCTGACTTAACTTTACTGACATATTACTACCACTGAGTTCAGGAAAACTAGAGTTCTATCATAGTTGTGTGAAATGTGAATTTAATTCTAACTTTAAATTAATAAAACAATCAAAAACTAATTTTAATCATATAACAATCAATTATAACAGTGCTAATCTAATGGTGATTAAATAATCTATATTCAACTACCAGTATCCTCTCCAACTACCAGAAAAACAATTCAACACTACTTGAGGCCTAAACAGATTAACAGAATCATATTATATACTGTAGTATCAAAAATGTTAAGTATTGCGACCATTGCAACTGTTGGCTACTCTTTCACAACTTGAAAACACCCATAATCATCAAGCGCAGATAGCTCAGGAGGTAAGGTAAGAGGCTCATAAGGCGAAGGTACCAGGTTCGAGACCCGACTGGGCCAAAAACTTTTTTCTCGTTTTTTTCTTCAAAATTTGTGTTTATTAACTATTTAATCAATTTACTAAACTTATAGCTAAGCTTTTCATACTAAATCTATATTACCGGTATTTTGTGTTTTTTATGTTCAGGCCCAGACCACACTTTATCCCAGGGACATCCCATAGTAGTCCCATATGTCCTGAGAATGTCCTGAGGACTACCCTGGGATGACCTCGGATGTCCCACGGATATGCTTTGAGCTTATCCGTAGGACATCCCCGGGCGGGGACATTACGCATTCCTGTGGATATCCTGGGATATCCCAGGTTGACCATAGGACCACTATGGGATATCTTGCATATCCTGTCGCAATATCCGTGGGATGTACTGAGGAGAAAGTGTGCTGTCTGGGAACCTAACCTAACCGACCTAACCAACCAAACTTGCTGATATGAAAAATTTGCTGACAAAAAGTTAGGGCCGCCAGAGGGATTCGAACTTGGGCCCTCTCTCGCCAACCGATCACACGGCCAACCTAACATCACAAAACTCTGAAACAAAACCTGGCCAGCAAAAACAGTGTGGTATGTTTTTTAAACACATAGTGGTTACTCCAGTATGTATTTTTTCCCATCAGGAGCTCGACCATACCCTTTAAAGATGCAAGTTAAAAATTCACTATTTTAACCCTACGGCCCCCACGCCAATGCCCTAAAAGGCATGGCCACCTGTAACTCCAGGCCGTGGCCTGGTTCTGGTATAATTGGCAACGTTGCAAGTAGGCCAGTGTTGTTTAGCACTGGAAGTCCCATAAGATAACATGGCAGACATGTGTCACCAGGTCATTAATTTGAGTAGCCTATTATTAATTTAATTTTGTGGTATTTTATTTCAGCAATTTTTGTTAACTACAAAAACAATCTGACTACATTTTCTTTAAATTATAACATTTATTCAAGCAAGTAACACATTTTTGAAAACTATTCATTTGAGTAAAATTATGAAATTAAATTCAATTCAAATATAAAACCAAATAAAACTTGAAAGTCTAAAACAAGAAAAAATATTCTATGAAAATCACTGTACAGGTTGAAGCAAGGTAATGTGATCTCATTGAATCCCCTTTTGGAAGTAAATTTGAGATACCAAATTAAAATTATATATGTCTTGCTGCAGGGGTGCCCAGCTACTGGGGCGGAGCCCTTTTGACGGATCTGCACTTCACACAAACCATCCTTGAATAGTGCTTATAATAATGCCTGAAAGTTTCATTACAATCTGGAGCGGTTTTGGAGTCCATAAAGGACAAACAGACAAACATACATTGGATTTTATGTATATAGATAATTAATTTCACTATTGAACAAATATTGCTGCTATTACATTTTTCCCCTGTGAAAAATTACTTTTTATGTTACATTTAATTTTTGCCCTAGCTTGAATTTTCAAATTTTGCATAACTTATGTTTAAAAATTATATAAAAAAATGTTAATGATAATTAATTATTCAAAGAGAAGTTGAGAAATAGCTTGAATGTTTAAAAAATGATCAAAAGTATTGTAGGGGGGGAGGGCTAGGTCACGGCCTTTTACGGACCATGTTAAGTAAATTTACAGAACCGACCTAAGAATGATTTAGTTATTGACAAACTAGAAATTTAGCAAAAATAAATTTAAATCCAGCTAAGACAGTATTTTCAAAGAAACCCCTCACATTATTATATTTTTACTAAAACAGTACCACTCCTGGTTTTCTGAGACAAAATCATTTTAAACACAAAAATTAACCTTTACACAAATTTTGTTTGTATATATAAAAGCTGCAGGATTTTGTATTTGGGCTAAGTGGACTTCAACCCTAAGCGCCAAATTTTCAGGCTGGTAAAATCTTCAAAAATATTTTTGAAGTAGAACACATTGTTTCAATTTATTTTGAAAAGACATATAAGAAACACCAATTTCAATCAGTATTTTTGATTTTGTAATAGTGTTTAAACCATTTTCAACTACTGTATTAGCGAATTTCCCATAAGGGAATGCTATTACCATAGTACTCATGGTAAGACCTGGACCTGGGACCGATTTAATTATTCGTTTTGAGGTCTCTAGAGGCCAAAAACACCATCCGTTCAAATTCATATATATATAAAAATTCCGTTAATATAAATTCTGTATATATAGGTATCCGTTACCTTGGGTGATATTCACCCTAAACAAAAACTATTAAATAACCAAACAATGAAATAGCCCCAGAAAACCAATGGATCCAATGGAAACCAATGGAGTATGTTAGAACCTTTACAGATGGTATAAGGTATAAGGTAAATTTATTAATACAGTAGGCATATTCTATCAAAGTAGAGTATTTTTTCATTGTTGCAAAGTAATTTGATCACAATCCTATTAAATCCAATAAATCATAAAAGTGGCAAATAGAGTATAATATTGATATCTGTTATAATTGTCTAAAACAATTAGCCATTTAAGTGTACAATTTTTGTATTAATAGCATTACAGTGTTCCTTTCCCGCAAGGATTACTTTGATAAAATTATTTCATCATCACGGTGACCTTTCTATTAGGCCTATGGTTCTAAATTTCTCTTGAAGCTCTTTTTATTTGGACATTCTCTTTACATTATTTCCTGATACAGGTTGGTATCTATTCTTGTGGCTTCTTAAGCCTAATTTGAAAACATTTTTACATGATACAAATTTATTTTACTTTTTTTTAACTATAAAATTAGTTTCATTACAATTAATTCTTATGAGGAAATCTAAGTTTTTTGTACATTGTACCATTCATTGTTGGATAATGAAGCTGCATCAATACATCAATAGTAATGTACAGTAGGCTACTTCCATAAATGTATTAGTAAAAGTTTGAATTCCAAGAAACCAAGTGGCTCAATCACGGGAAATAAATGCCAGGTTAATCCCGAACTTTTGTAAACATAACTGGATAAATTTACTTTACAATATATATTATTTTGTTTAGGAAAGATAATAAAGGAATTTATTACAATGGAAGTTTAACAAAGAAGAGTAGAGTACAATCAGAATTCAATACTTAATTTTTACACTAAAATAATTTGGAATCCCAGCTCCATCTTCAAATTCCCTCGCTGACCGCCAATGCTTTCTAGTTTGAATCAGACACAATATACTGATGCAATAAAAATATACTCAAATTCTTGAATGTTATTTGCTACGGCCAGAGTGTTTAGGGTATAGTTTGTACCAGCCACAAAAACACATACGTATTGTCAATTGATATTTTTATTTAAAAACAAATAATAGACTTGAAATAGTAAATCAGTCTTAATTATTTTTATAGCTTTATAGTTTTGTCTAACAGTACAAACTAAGTGATTTTTATCTGGAAGATTTATTTTTACAATATTGAACACCATGTTTCCCTACGTATGAGGTATAAGATGTTGCACTCTAAAGGTGTTAAGTTAAATTACAATGATGAATTTTAGCTTATAGCTCAGTATGTTTTGATGGAAACTTCTTTAATATTGCTACGAATAGGTTATAAAAAGCATAGACGCTAACACAAATTATCATTAGAAACACAACTGCGAAGACGGCGCTGAGGAAATTTCCGTCGATGATCGTATCACTTGGGGTTTTCTTAGTTTTCCCTTTTGCACCTGGAAACATTTTGTAAGTTTAACCTCGATGTCGGTAGCGCTTAATAAAAAAAAATATCATTCAACCATATTTAAAATTATTGAAAATTTATTGCAATTCTTAGTTCTCCAAATGTGATTCTGATTCTGTTCATATGAACTAGGTTACTTATAAACTGTAAACATTTTACCAAAGTAATTTACTTGAATATTATTTATATATTAGGTGACAGCCATTCCTATTTTACAAGAAATAGAAATCAAATTGCCATTGATTTCCACAGGCTAGAGTTTTATAATAAAAAAAAACATTAAATGCGGGTGCTAAGTTTTTACTTCGGCTACCTGTGGAATTGAGAAACGTTAAAGGTGTAAAAAATTTTAAGAAAAAATTAAAACTGCATTTGAAAAATAATACATGATATAAATTTGATGAATTCTGACAACCATATTTTTTGTTGTTTATGATCAACTTTTGGTTTAAATAGGTACCTTATGGCTTATGAAGGAATTGTAATGAAATTAAGTTGTTAGCTGTAATTTAGCATAATGACGCCATTCGATGTATACCACTGTATATTATATGAATAAAGACATTTTCTATTCAATTCAATTCAATATCTATAGCCCAAGCAAATTAGGAAAAATAGAGGAACAAATCTATGTATTCCCAATTTTTTCAAAAATGTGTCGGGGAGGGTCTAGGGGACCCTCTACAACCTTCTTTCCGTCAATATTTCTGAAAAATAACAAGGAAGGAGAAAAAAATAAGATTTTAACGAAAAATGTGAGATGAAAATCTTTTTTCAAACATAATTTTTTTTTTTTGAGCGCAGATATCTCAGAAACTATGCGTCTTTCCCTAATAATGTATATGATCATAGTTGTAGCAAATTTAATAAGCTTGAACTTTTACATTGAACAATTTAAGCTACGACACGCCGTTTTCAGGTTACTGTATAAGCAAAAAGCCGCAAATTGGGGCCTTTACACTTCCCACCACCAGAGAGCGGCAGGGTGATTTTATTCTCACCTATCATATAGGTATTCATTAGGGGACCCTCCCCGACACATTTTTGAAAAAATTGCGGATACCTACATAGATTTGTTCCTCTATTTTTCCTAATTTGGACTTATTTGCTTGAACTACTACCAGCGACAGGGGAGGTGCAGGGGGGTAATGAAGAGTTTAGTCAGTTCAGTGGTAGCCATTGTTATTGTTAGTTATTTACATCTGTTCGATGTTGTACCCTTACCTAAAATGTAACCTAACGTTTTGTAGTTCGCACAAAAGAACACTTTTAGAGTTAGAACTCCTCCAAATATGATAATCACTATCGCGTATTTGACTCCTTAGGTTCAGAAGTGTTTTACAGATGGAATGACACACTGTTAAATATTGACCAATTTTTTTTTTTTTTTAGTAATTGAGATATTTTCTTTATTTGGCTTGAATAGACACATTTTTATAATTTAATAGACCAATTTAGTGATACAGCGTGATCTTGGTAAAGTAAAGGTCACATTTAGCGCAAATTACTACAGCAAAACTGAGATAAAGTCAGGGCGTGTCTACTTACCTAACCTGACCTTAAATTAATCTCGGCCCCCACCAAAAAAAATATTCTATATCCGCCACAGATCGGTATGTGAAAATAAATTACTGTATTGACTACTTAATGGTTTTAGTGGCCAAATATTTTTGTTTCAAGAAATGAAACATTTTTAATTACGTATATTATGTGAATCTGTTAGTCTGCAATAATGTTGACTTTTTTATTTTTATTTGATTTTTGTAGTGCTTTTATTTTGAGTACATCTACATCATTGACATTTTGTGGCTGTATGGTTGTTTGTTGGATAAAACTACATTTAGGCTACCACCATTCAAATGGAAACAGGCATTGAATCTTAAATTAAATCAGAGAACACAGCTTATCGCAAATCACAGGCCAAAGAAGCCAGCTTTGATGAATGCAAATATTAACTAAATCATTATTACTATGGAATTATTAATTTCCAGTCAACAAAATATTAACTAAGTGACCAAAAGGTTGACCAGAAGCAACTGAAGGATTAATTAAGGCAATATTGATGTCTAAAATGCTGACACCTAACTGTTGATAGGTATCTAAGTTGTGCACTTAAACTTATTATTTTTTTTACGTGCGAGATAGGCCTAAATTACCTTGGGTCCTCACCTTTTTCTAAGTCTTTCACACTCTCTGCCATCAACCGATTCATGAGTTCAACGTTGGCTCGGAACTCATCGATGTTAATATTTTCTTCTCCTGTCAAATTATTGGTATGCTGATTTGAAAACCCTAAAACAGTTAATTAGATGTTACATTTTACATCTAAAGTTACCTATTTTAAGAAAAATGATTTCAGAGTGAAGTGGAGACAAGCAGGATCTTGAAGTATGAACAAAAACCACTGAATTGATCGTAAAACATTATGTATATTTTATGGCGACTTACCTACGAAAGAAAATTGGACAATTTGGAAAGGTATTGGGTACATTTACCAATATTGAGATTATAATTTATGTGTACCTCTGTTCACCAAAAACTCCTATACCAGTAAAAAATACCAACTAATATCATAGGCTAACTGTTTTACTAAGATAATATTCATTAACGGTATCATAGGTAATTCACTAATGAAACCTGGAATTTGCACTTAATTAAACAAACATTTGATATAAATGAAGAAATTTAGATATTTTATAACTGTTGTACATACAAACAAAATTTAACAGTGATATAATCATATAACACTGAGTAACATGCTTAAACATTTTGAATATTTGAATTATTGTAGCAATGAATTATTCAATATAAATAATATTTTTGTGCAACCTACCATTGGTTGTCTTATCCTGAGATGGGTCATTCTTCCTTATTCCAGTCATAATATTATCCCTGTTGTGTTCTCTTCGTAGATCTGAGAGGAATTTAGAAATTTATTTGATTTGACAGCATTACAATCTGTAGAGTGAAAATTCCCGTTTAAAATATTAACGATTAATGAATGTGAATATACTTTTATGGTTTGACACACACCTTAATACGCTCCGAGTTCTGCTGACTGACTAGTGAGTGACTGCTGAGCCTGAGCGGCGAGCCAGTGTTTCCACACGACCAAAAAAATAATCCCGCTTACTGGGTCGAGAAATCCCGTTTTATCCCGCTTTTAAATTGTGGAAAAATCCCGTTTTATCCCGCATGATATTTTTGTACAATACCTAGTATTAATACTTGACGTACCATGTTTAAAAAGTTGTTTAAACATCACTGTTATATTTTGCTACAGTATTTAATCAATTTGAGTTAGTTTTTCTCTAAAATTAAGTAGAAAAAAATAAAAATAGTCGTCACAGCCGAAAATCCCGTTTTATCCCGCATCCCGTTTTAATCCCGCTCAAGGTTCAAAAAATCCCGTTTTCGAGATAATAATCCCGCGAATGGAAACACTGCGGCGAGCGCAGACGCAACCTGGACGGAAAGAGAGTAATCAATACTAACTGATTTCAGACAGTGACAAAGGAACTGAATCTATTCCCTTAGTGGCTGTCCGCATATCATTGAGTATAGACGTCAGTTATATTGCTGGAGGCCAAAGCTTTGTGCTTCCACCATGGTTTCAAACAAATCTAAAATACCCCCACCACAGCAAACCTGCAGACTAAGCGAATTATTTCAACTTGTCTGTTTACATTTTTACTCAAATATTTCCTTAAATAAGACATATTTATTCCCAATTTTAATATCATTAGATTTAACTAGTGCTTAGGTTTGCTGCCACGGGGAAGGTAAAAAGTGTTTTCTTCACCATACGTCAATTGTATAGGATAAAATAAATAAATTAGCCAAAATTTTCATTTCCTCCATAAGAATAACATGGGAATTTTATATTATACTTTTTTTAATTTCCTCCGTGACCATTACAACAGCTCTTCAATATAATGTTTTTTTTTTCTTTTTTAAGATCTACAAAATGGTTTAGAGAGAAATTGCAAAACTTTTTGTTTTTAGGGTCAAAATGAGAAAAGCCAATTTTTACCCCATAAAGTCCCCATAAACCCCTATTCCCATGGTCCGATTATGCTGGTTTGCGAAATCGTTCAAATAAACGTAAGTTTTCACGTTTGTACCAAATTTCATCAAAATCGGATCGTTTTTGCTCGAGTTATTGCGCTAACGGACACACACACATAAATATTAATTTAAACGGATGATGTTTTTGGCCTCTGGGGACCTCAAAACGAAAAAAGTATATCGTTCCCGAGTCTAGGCCTTACCATGAGACCTAAGGTAATAGCTTATTTTCTATATGGTAGATTCGCTAAAAGGAACTTTAGAGCCCCCTATCCTCTTAGCTCCACCACCATTGAATATACAGTATAACACTAGAGTTATATCACGGCCACTTTTAACTCCATGCCGCGGCCTGGTAAAATTGGCGACGTTGCAAGTGGCGTTGTCTAGTGCCTTACGGCCCATAAGATAACAACATGACTCATCAATTACTTACTTTCCGTGTCCGGAAATCAGACTTCGCTTTTCCAAAAATTAGCTACCGATATGATATGGCTTTGTCATTCGCTTGTAAGATCATATATTTTTATTTTTTATTTTATTTTACATATCAACGGACAAACTCTATATTTTTACATTCATGCAACAAAACAATATGGAGAAAAAAACATTCGTAACAATAATATGGCATTGCTCTGGCCTCTATTGTGCAAGACTGGTCTAGGCTTGGACAGATGATCAGCAGATGACCAGGATCCTGAACAGCACCACACGCACACAAGATGTTTTCTTCGTCTGGTAAAAGACCCCATTTCTGCATGTTTGTCTTGCATTTCAGTACCTCGACCCTGATTCGATTTAGGGTCTTCCACACCGTATAATGGACAGAGCAATGCTCAAACTCACACACACGCATACACATATTAACAAGAAATTGACGATTCCCCTGTCTACGAGGACGGCGGAGAAGACATCGATGGTAAATGATAAATGGTAATGTAGGTTTCCACCAGGAGCGAGTTCCTCCCTGGCTGGTATGGGAGAGTTAGTCAACGTGGCCTCCCACCTTGCCACCCGATTGCTTGTTTTCCTAACCTAGCTTTTGTTTTTAAAAATACGTTTCTGTTAGAAGATGAGTGAAATGGATAATGCAAAGTTTTGTTCGTAACACCCTGTATATTGTCGGGTCAGGTAAAATCTTGTACGTTACACGTTACGCCAGAGCGTGTTTACACCAATTAGGTGAATTATGCAACTCGCTTCCGTTCGTTGCTCAACATTCACCTGCGTGAAGTAAAAACGCTCTTACTACACTTGTAAGGTAAATAGCTGTTACCCCACACTATTTATACGGTTTTAACAAGCTTACCACGGAGGGATTTAGTCCAGTAAACAGCTGTTGCCGCCAGCTTAATCAAATGGTGTTTCATTACGTAAGCTTACATAGGTCTAATTATGAATAGTTATTGTTAGTCCTTTAGTTGGTGGTAATACATAAGGGTTTGTTCAGATTTTTTTTGTAAGTTAGCTTAGAGTAGTATAGCGTAAAATATCGTACGTAACTTCTCCAAAATGTTTTTAACTCAATACTCGTTTATTGAACTTATTTACCGGACTCATAAGGTAATCCCGCACTCGACTTCGTTCTGAAACCACTAACCAGAACCACTGGGCTAAAATGCACAAGAAATGAAACTGGAAATCGTGACGTCGATGCTACGTCCCGTAAGCCTTGCGGGAACTCAACCCGTCTGGCCAGTGGTCTGGCCTCAGTTCAGTTCAGGCAAGTGGCAATGGCAAGTACTGTACGTTTGTTTTTGTTTGTTGAATTTTCAGTTTTCTTTTGACTTTTTGTTTGAAGTTTGAGTGGTCTGGTTGGTGGTAACTGGTCTGGTATTTACTTCCACCATGGTAACTGGTAACTCTGGTTCTGGTAGCCAGTCCAGTAGTGCAAGTGCAGTGGTATGGTATTGGTAAAACTCTACTGACTGGTCTAAGTTATAGGAGGCTATGTGAAGAAACCTAAACCTAAGAAGTTTGTTTGAGATATAGGCTAGTTTTATTTAAATTATTGTAATATAAATATTCTCAAGAAATAGTGTTTAAGCAGATTTTGGAAAGAAGATTACTTCCACCCTCAGGCTCAGACCTCTGAGCAATACTACAGTGTTGTTAATGAAGAAGTGAGTATATTATGATGCTGCCTTAGGCTATGTTTTGGAAAGTACTTTTTCACCCAATTAAGATTTTAGTACAACAATTTGGACAAGTAGGCCTAGTACCTTGTGGCCATACCGTATTTTAGTTCTAATGCATGAATTCCCCTTATATAACTAGGCTACAGTTTCCTAACAGTGCTATGCTAATATCGATTCAAACTAACAATTCAATTAGTAGGTACCTACAACTTCTCTCAACATGCCATGGCCTACCCAGTGCTTGGGCAGACTTCCGTACATCTGTTGGCACAAACAACCGAATGAAAATATCGATTACCGGTAAGTTTCGATTGTTTCATTCCATATATCGATTGATATATTTCATTCAGTTGTTTGTGCCAACAGATACGGAAGTCTACCCCAGTCTTCAAGTGGCCCCAGCCTATACCCTTTTCAAATTACGTTGGACTGTCTGTGCTAGAAATTAGAAAAGTTCCTACTAAAAGCATTTTGTAAAATGAAGGTGAAAACTAAGTTAACTACTCGCGCGGGTTTTTCTAATTGTAGCCTACTCGCGTAAGGGTGTTTTTGACACCCCATTCTTATAATTGTTAAAAATTTTATTAGCACTAATAATTGGTAGGGGCCTAAATAACATTTTTTGTCGTTATTTAAGTTTATTTTATAGGCTACTGTTTCCAGTATGAAAGAGTTATTTATTTTAAATTATACAATGTAAAAAAATATATTTCTTTTACTAACTGTAATTTGTGGGTGTCTTTGGTCAAGTTTTGCATTTAAACCATGTTTTTATTAAAATAATATGTACTTTTGTGATTAAATTGTTTGATATTGAATAGCTAGCGTAATGGGAAATTATTTAGGTGGGGGTGACCAAGCGTTCTATAGTAAGTTATATATCATTGGAAACTAGATTTTTACTTGAAAATAATGGTGCAAAAATTTTTTTGCAGCCACAAAAACTGAATTTACTACGATTTTTTGAAGTTTATTCTAATGTTTTATTAGGAACATTGAATCTGCACTAGCCTACAATGGTTACACTGTAAAATCGAAGTTAATAGCACAATTCACATTTATTGATTGATTATATGCCATTTTAATGTAAATATTACCCTCACAACCCACACTTTTAGGTAATTATGTTAATCTGCACTAGCCTACAATGTTTACACTGTAAAATCGAAGTTAATAGCACAATTCACATTTATTGATTGATTATATGCCATTTTAATGTAATTACCCTCACAACCCACACTTTTAGGTAATTATGTTAATTTAAGTAGGCTATAACTTACGTATTATTTGATTAAAATTAATTAACATTAATAAACACCTCTAGTTCGGACATTATTTAATCTGGATCTGGGGACTGGATTAAGAAAGAAGAAGGAATTCATTTAGTTCTTCTCTTCACTTAACCGAATGGCTTAGCTTAGGTTTTGACCATGTAACCGTTAGCCTATGTCCCATGAGGATAATAGTATAGTGGCAGTTTTAATAAAATAAATAAACAGCAAATTGAAAGCAGTATGAAATCCCCGTCAGACATAGTTTTATTTAGCATCTCAATATTTTGAATGACATGTACAACCCTAATTTTGTTCATCAGATATTTATTAGCTATCAATATTATTGTAAAAACCTTGATAAAATGATAAATAAAAGTGTTACAAAAATTAAATGTCTAATGAAGTCTGGTCTTTTTCAGAAGTGGCAAAAGACTTTCCCAGACTTAGAGAAAATAAACTCAAGTTCCTCGCAGTAAAGCTTCATATAATGTCTGACATATGGTTGTACTACGAACAGCAGATAAAAATGGTATTCTATTAAACACTATATAAAGAACAGATGAATGTAAATTATTGCTCTGTAAAACTATTATATTACTGTACAATTAACATTTATGCGGTAGGATTTAAAATATCTTCAACAAAACAAGATTTAAGCATGAAATGTTTTAAAATTGTAGTGATCTCTATGTAAATAATAAACACTAAACAAATCCTACATTTAAATGGACATACAAATCATAACTGACAAATTAAGTTATCTACTTACTAGGTCATCTGACAAGTACCATAAAGTTAGGAAGTAAATATGTTAAAGCTTCCATATAAGTGTGCATTTTGTAAAATAATTGTTTCATCTCAGTGGAAAATGAGGAGTCATATATTGGAACATACGGGTGAGCGCCTTTTTAAATGTTTGATATGTGAGAAAACGTTTATCCAACTAAATCAAGTAAAGAGTCATTTGTTGAAACACTCTTGGGAGAGCCCTTATAAGTGCACTATATGTGAAAAATCATTTAAAACCAAAAACATTTTGAAGAGACATGCATTGATTCATACTGGAGAAGCATCTTATAAGTGCACTACATGTGGAAAACCCTTCAAAGCCAAAAGCGATTTGAGAAGACATACTTTGATTCATACCGAAGAGCGGCCTTATAAGTGCACTACATGTGGAAAATCTTTTAAAATTAATCAAGAATTGAGGAGGCATACAGTGGTTCATTCTAGAGAGCGACCCTATAAATGCACTACATGTGAAAAATCCTTTAAAACCAATCAGGAATTGAGGAGGCATACAGTGGTTCATACTGAAGAGCGGCCTTATATGTGCACTACTTGTGGAAAGTCATTGAAAACCAAACAAAATATGAAGATACACATATTGATTCATACTGAAGAGCGGCCTTATAAGTGCACTACATGTGGAAAGTCCCTCACAACCAAAAACAGTTTGAAGGGACATATATTGATTCATACTGGAGAGCGACCTTATAAATGTGATAAATGTGGAAATTGCTTCAAAACCAAAGGCATTTTGAATAGTCATACATTGGTTCATACTAAAGAAGCATCTTATAAGTGCACTACATGTGAAAAATCCTTTAAAACCAACCACGAATTGAAGAGGCATACAGTGGTTCATACTGGAGAGTGGCCTTATAAGTGCACAACATGTGGAAAATGCTTCACAAAAAAAAGAAGCATGAAGGACCATACAAAGGTTCATACGGGAGAGCGGCCTTATAAGTGCACTACATGTGGAAAATCCTTTAAAACCAACCGCGTATTGAAGAGGCATACAGTGGTTCATACGGGAGAGCGGTCATATAAGTGCACTACATGTGGAAAATCCTTTAAAACCAACCACGAATTGAAGAGGCATGCAGTGGTTCATACGGGAGAGCGACCTTATATGTGCACTACTTGTGGAAAATTGTTTGCAGCCAAAAGATATATGAATGCCCATACTAAGGTTCATATTGGAGAGCGACCTTATAAGTGCACTACATGTGGAAAATCCTTTAAAACCAACCGCGTATTGAAGAGGCATACAGTGGTTCATACGGGAGAGCGGTCATATAAGTTCACTACATGTGGAAAATCCTTTAAAACCAACCATGAATTGAAGAGGCATGCAGTGGTTCATATTGGAGAGCGACCTTATAAGTGTGATACATGTGGAAAGTCCTTCACAGCCAAAAACTCTTTGTATATACATACATTGGTTCATACTGGAGAAGCATCTCATAAGTGACCTACATGCGCGAAATCCTTCGCCATCAATAAGAAAATTAAGAAACATAATTTGATCCATGCAGGAGAGCGATCTCATAAGTGCACTACATATGAAAACTTCTATAGAATTATGTAAGATTCAAAGAATTTTAAACAATTGAAATTAATTCTTTACACTTATTCAAGGAAACATACATTGTTACATGTTAGAGAGCAACTTTACATGTGTAGGACATGCAAAGTGTTCTTTTACTTATAATTTATATTGTAGCAGACTTGTATTCAATATTGATAGCCTTGAATGTACTTGCAGTATAAGTGTATGTTGTCCTTAAATGTCTAAGGGGCTAGACATACCAGAGTACCAAGTTGAAAGTTACAGTTGTTCAACCTTAATAAAAAGAGAATATAATTTACAGTTTGTACATTGCAGTAAAAAACTTACTGTATTAAACTTATTGATCTTTTTAGTTGATAACATTTGTGTTCAAGTGGTCACCGAATTAACTTTAACAAATCCACTTGTACTTGCTATTTGTTAAAATAAGTTACTTTTATAAATAAATATTCATATAAATATAAGTTCTTTAATTAAACCATTGTGCAAACATTACACCCTCTTTAAAATACTTTTAGATACTAAAATACCAATTATAGACAAATAACTAAATACTGTCAAATAATTAAAAAACAAAATGGAGTTTGTTCAATATATTACAAAAGAATAGACATAAAAGAGTAGGCGATACCACAGAAAACGTACTACTATAACCCAGAATGCCAACCGAGCATAGCAACGCTGGTGGCGCTGCCTACGGATTGACAGGCAAAGCTCTCTCAAAACACTTAATGCTTTTTACCATGCGGTTGGCATTCTGGGTTATAGTAGTACGTTTTCTGTGGCGATACAAAATCACACAAGTGCAACATTAAATACCCCCACCGTAGCAAATTCCTATTTGTCTGATTTAATTTTCAGTTTTTATTAGATTTAAATACCTTGAGGTTTAACGAGTATTAAGGTTTGCTGCTACAGGGATGGGAGTAAAGTGTGGGTTTGATAAATTATAAAATACAATACAATATATTTAGCTTAGTACAAAATACATAAATTTGTGATTTATACAGGTATATTTTTGCCTTTACAAAATTATTTCATCAAAAATACATTAAGTAAGTTGAAATGCCGCTAAATAACATAACTCCACTGGGGCAAATATGAATAATAGAGGTTTATGAGTGATAGATACCCACCAAAGTACAAACAGATAAGTCCCCACTCTGTTAAAAAAATTCCCACCAATACATCCACAACATAGAGACTGTTCTTTGGGCTTATCATATCCATTACATTCTAATACTATTATTTCAAAGCAAAGTATGAAATCCCGGTCAGACATAGTTTTATTTAGCATTTCAATATTTTGAATGGCATGTACAACCCTAATTTTGTTCATCATCAGATATTTATTAGCTATCAATATTATTGTAAAAACCTTGATAAAATGATAAATAAAAGTGTTACAAAAATTAAATGTCTAATGAAGTCTGGTCTTTTTCAGAAGTGGCAAAAGACTTTCACAGACTTAGAGAAAATAAACTCAAGTTCCTCGCAGTAAAGCTTCATATAATGTCTGACATAAGGTTGTACTACGAACAGCAGATAAAATGGTATTCTAGTAAACACTATATAAAGAACAGATGAAAGTAAATTATTGCTCTCTAAAACTATTAAATTACTGTACAATTAACATTTATGCGGTAGGATTTAAAATATCTTCAACACAACAAGATTTAAGCAAGAAATGTTTTAATATTGTTGAGATATCTATGTAACATACAAATCATAACTGACAAATTAAGTTATCTATTTACTTACTAGGTCATCTGACAAGTACTATAAAGTTAGGAAGTAAATATGTTAAAGCTTCCGTATACGTGTGCATTTTGTAAAATAATTGTTTCATCTCAGTTGAAAATGAGGAATCATATATTGGAACATACGGGTGAGTGCCCCTTTAAATGTTTGATATGTGAGAGAACCTTTATCCAACTACATCAAGTAAAGAGTCATTTGTTGAAACACTCTTGGGAGAGCCCTTATAAGTGTGATTCATGTGAAAAATCCTTTACAACCAAAAAATATATGAAGGCCCATACAAAGGTTCATATTGGTGAGCGGCCTTATAAGTGTGATATATGTGGAAAGTCCTTCACAACCAAAAACCATTTGAATAGACATACATTGGTTCATACTGGAAAACTACCTTTTAAGTGCACAACATGTGGAAAATGCTTCACAAAAAAAAGAAATATGAAGGACCATACAAAGGTTCATACGGGAGAGCGACCTTATAAGTGTGATACATGTGAAAAATCCTTCAAAGCCAAAAGCGATTTGAGAAGACATGCATTGATTCATACTGGAGAGCGGCCTTATATGTGCACTACATGTGAAAAATCCTTTAAAAACAATCAGGAATTGAGGAGGCATACAGTGCTTCATACTGGAGAGTGGCCTTATAAGTGCACTACATGTGAAAAATCCTTTAAATCCAATCAGGAATTGAGGAGGCATACAATGGTTCATACTGGAGAGCGGCCTTATAAATGCACTACGTGTGGAAAATCTTTTAAAACCAATCAGGAATTGAGGAGGCATACAGTGATTCATACTGGAGAGCGGCCTTATAAGTGCACTACATGTGAAAAATCCTTTAAATCCAATCAGGAATTGAGGAGGCATACAATGGTTCATACTGGAGAGCGGCCTTATAAATGCACTATGTGTGGAAAATCTTTTAAAACCAATCAGGAATTGAGGAGGCATACAGTGATTCATACTGGAGAGCGGCCTTATAAGTGCACTACATGTGAAAAATCCTTTAAATCCAATCAGGAATTGAGGTGGCATACAATGGTTCATACTGGAGAGCGGCCTTATAAATGCACTACGTGTGGAAAATCTTTTACGAAAAAAAAATGTATGAAGGACCATACAAAGGTTCATACTGGAGAGCGACCTTATAAGTGCACTACGTGTGGAAAATCTTACACAACCAAAAGCAATATGAAGGCCCATACAAAGGTTCATACTGGAGAGCGGCCTTATAACTGTGATACATGTGGAAAGTCCTTCACATGCAAATCCCATTTGAATAGACATACATTGGTTCATACTGGAGAGCGGCCTTATTATAAGTGCACTACGTGTGGAAAATCTTTTACAGACAAAAGCAATATGAAGGCCCATACAAAGGTTCATACTGGTGAGCGGCCTTATAAGTGTGATATATGTGGAAAGTCCTTCACAACCAAAAACGATTTGAATAGACATACATTGGTTCATACTGGAGAGCGGCCTTATAAGTGCACTACATGTGGGAAATCTTTTAAAATTAATCAAGAATTGAGGAGGCATACGATGGTTCATACTGGAGAGCAGCCTTATAAGTGCACTAGATGTGGAAAGTCCTTCACAGCCAAAAACTCTTTGCATAGACATACATTGGTTCATACTGGAGAAGCATCATTAAGTGCACTACATGTGAAAAATCCTTCCCCATCAATAAGGAAATTAAGAAACATCATTTGATCCATGCAGGAGAGCGATCTCATAAGTGCACCACATATGAAAACTTCTATAGAATTATATAAGATTCGAAGAATTTTAAACAATTGAAATTAATTCTTTACACTTATTCAAGGGAACATACATTGTTACATGGTAGAGAGCAACTTTACATGTGTAGGACATGCAAAATGCTCTTTTAATTATAATTTCCATTATAGCAGACTTGTATTAATTATTGATAGCCTTGAATGTCCTTACGGTATAAGTGTATGTTGTCCTAAAATGTCAAAGGGACTTGACACATTTGTTCATACCAGAGTACCAAGTTTAAAGTTACAGTTGTTCAACCTTATTAAAAAGATAATATAATTTACAATTTGTACAAAACCATTTAGGATATTGTTTTAAAAATTTCAGTAAAAAACTTACTGTATTAAACTTATTGATCTTTTTAGTTGATAAAATGTTCAAGTGGTCACAGAATTAACTTTAACAAATCCACTTGTACTTTCTATTTGTAATAAGTTACTTTTATAAATAAATATTCATATAAATATAAGTTCTTTAATTTTACCATTGTGCAAACATTACATCCTCTTTAAAATACTCTTAGATACAAACATACCAATTATACACAAATAACTAAATACTGTCAAATAATTATAAAACAAAATGGCATTTGTGCAATATATGACAAAAGAATACATAATAATTTATAAATAAAAAAAACGTAATGTTAAAAAAAAAATTTTTATTTATAAATCATTTTCTACTTTTTTAGTTTTTCATGTGTGTGGATGTTAAATCTATTTCAAGCATCTATATCAGATTAAGACAGAGGCATGTGGAAAATCTAACATTTGTTTAGTTTCTTTTCACCTACTAACTATAAATATATCAATCTATTTAATTTATTGTTTACTTTATAGAATACTAAATAAATAACAATTGACATTATTAACAAACACCTTTATATATGCAATCAGATTGTTTATCTTTATTTTTAAATTTTTGTTTGTATAAAGAATCTCTTGGGAGCATAACCTGTACCTCTTAACCTCTGCTCTTCGAACTGTCAAATTTAAGTATTTACAGCTGACTTAAATTAATTGATATATTTACATTATTTCAAAATGTAAACATGGAAAATTTGGAAGCCCATGGTGCGTAGCCCAAGGGTAATATGAAAGTTAAATGATATAATATTGCATTTTCATCCATTTGTGAGTTATGTTTCAAATTTCGTGTCTCTAGCTCATCAGGAACTTCGTTTATAATTGATATCAAAATTTGTAGGAAAGCGAGCTAATAAAAACAAGTCTCTAGCTCATTGGGAAGTATCAAAATTTTCAAGAAAGCGAGTTAATAAAAACAAGCCCATGGGGCGTAGCCCAAGGGAAATACATTGTCTTCCATTTTTGAGCTATGTTTCGAGTTTCAAGTTTCTAGCTCATCGGGAAGTTAGTATAAAATTGATTGCAAAATTTGTACCGGACAAGAAGCGAGCTAATAAAAACGTTTTATAAAAGAGTAGGCGATAAAAAATCACACAAGTGCAACATTAAATACTCCCACCGTAGCAAACCTGCAGCCTAAGCGAATTCCTATTCGTCTGATTTAATTTTCAGTTTTTAATAGATTTAAATACCTTGAGGTTTAACGAGTATTAAGGTTTGCTGCTACAGGGATGAGAGTAAAGTGTGTGTTTGATAAATTATAAAATACAATACAATATATTTAGCTTAGTACAAAATAAATAAATTTGCAAAGTTTGATCAAAATATATCCATAAAACAAGTGAACTACAACAGTTTACATAATCTCGATAAGAATCACATGGGAATTTTTAATTTACAACTTCACTGAAGGTTCTTGGATTAAAACATCTATCTATACATATAATACGCTAAGCCGATTTTTATGAACAGAACTCCTCCCTCATTTTTGGACCGATTTTGATGATTAAAGTGTCAAAAAATTTGCCCTGATCTGTAGTTTTGCAAAGTGTTTTTCGTTTTTTGATATCTTTATTAGTTTGGGCAGGATCTTCCATCAAAGTTGAGTTTTCTCCCATAAGATTAACATGGGGGAATCTAAATATTTAATTGGAAACTTTGTCTCCACTAATTTGAGAGAACGGCTGGGCGTAAAAACTTGGTAGGGGTGTCCAAAGAAAGGTCTTGGTCTGTAGATGAGTTATCAAAAGAAAAACGAAGTAAATTCGCTTAGGGCTCTGCCCCAGAAGCCTTTAAAGATCCCTCCACAGATTTGTTTACATTTTGGCCATGTGTATAATTACTTTTTCCTACAGTCACCCGACAAAGTTGGCTTCCTTGTACTGTTTATAGTACAGAAAGCTGCTAATTGCTGCATATTTATACTTTGCCGTACGGTTTATACTTTGCCGCACATCAGGATTCCAACGAAACAACACAAAACAGCGTGGTTCCATTATGCACGTAATCCGTGTACGCTTGGAAATAGGTTGGCAACACTTAAAGATAATTATACTATGAGCAGCTGATTGAATATTATAACTACGATTTAACCTGTCATTTTGTGTTTATAGTTTCGGTATTTCTGAACTTTCTGGACTTTTCTTTTAAACATTTTTAAAACCTTCCTACGATCTTAATAAACAAGAAAATACCTTTTAAGCATTTCTTTTTAGGCGCGGAAACCACTTCAAATTACAAAAACATACGGAACTATATTCTCAAAACGCCGAGCACATTTCTTGCCGAGGAAAAATAGCGGAGTGATATGGACCGCGGGTACTACTTTCTCTAGGGCACCATTTGTGTTGCCAGCTGAACCTAAAAACGTGTTGCATAGTGTTTGAAAGACTAATTATTTATATGCTATATAGTGACTGTAGGAAAAATATAATGTGTAACACGAGTGAAAAAGGCCTTTGCTGCACTCGAGATCATTCCACACTCGCCTGCGGCTCGTGCGTAAACATTGCTCTCGTGTGCAGCAAAGTGCCACTTTCACCACTAGTTACACAAATAACTATTTCCTACAGTCACCCGACAAAGTTGGCTTCCTTGTACTGTTTATAGTACAGAAAGCTGCTAATTGCTGCATATTTATACTTTGCCGTACGGTTTATACTTTGCCGCACATCAGGATTCCAACGAAATAACACAAAACAGCGTGGTTCTATTATGCACGTAATCCGTGTACGCTTGGAAATAGGTTGGCAACACTTAAAGATAATTATACTATGAGCAGCTGATTGACTATCATAACTATATACGATTTAACCTGTCATTTCGTGTTTATACTTTCGGTATTTCTGAACTTTCTGGACTCTTCTTTTAAACGTTTTTAAAACATTCCTACGATCTTAATAAACAAGAAAATACCTTTAAAGAATTTTTTTTAAGGCGTGGAAACCACTTCAAATTACAAACACATACGGAACTATATTCTCAAGACGTGGAGCACATTTCTTGCCGAGGAAAAATAGCTGAGTGATACGGACCGCGGGTACTACTTTCTCTAGGGCACCATTTGTGTTGCCAGCTGAACCTAAAAACGTGTTGTATAGTGTTTGAAAGACTAATTATTTATACGCTTTATAGTGACTGTAGGAAAAATATAATGTGTAACACGAGTGAAAAAGGCCTTTGCTGCACTCGAGATCATTCCGCACTCGCCTGCGGCTCATGCGTAAACATTGCTCTCGTGTGCAGCAAAGTGCCACTTTCACCACTAGTTACACAATCGTACTCCCTTTGATTTTTCTGATTTTTCCCTTTGATTTTCATTAAATAACTATTTAATGAAACAGCTGTTAATTTTAAAACTGTACTTTAAACAACACACATTTATTGGGAGTTACTGAATAGTCCAAAAGAAGTACTTGCAATGTTATTTTCTGATTTTAAAATTGATTTTCTTCTGTATCATGTCATGTGTTGCAATATGAAGTTCCATTACGAAATCAGTGGAAAATCCTTTGATCACAATAACTCTTACAATTATTTCTTATTGAACTATCTATTTTACGGGTTGGTGTCTGCCTTTTTCACACCTTTCCCTATATTTTATCATACTATCCTAGAGAGATAGGTTCATGAGATTATTGTCATACATGCACATGTCACACATGAATCATTGGAAAAATCTTCGATTGTGTAATACAATACAAAATAATACAAGTGCAGAAGGGCACGATGCCCATTTGAGCCGTGTCCATGTTATGTTAAATTAATATTGGTTTACAGCAACTGAATAAAACATTTTACAATATTTATGTAGAAATAATGTGCATGATTTAGAAACTCATTAAACTGGAAAGTTGCAATATACAGCAGAAGCAGACTTTTCAGAGAGGTTACTTCGATTCATTCAGCTTAGTGAAAACATAATATAGATATGTATACAAGTAAGAACTTGAACTCTTAGAGAGCCTTTGACTGTTATTAGACTAACAAAAAGGGTTGTGCATGTTTACTATCTCTACTCAGCAACAAAACCATTTAATTTATCTCTAAATTATATATTCTTAAAGTGCACTGAGCAGCAGCCTAAAAAATCTATGTAACTTATAATATAGTTACAAAATGCTCAAACTAGCATTGTGATGTTTATAACTTGGCTTATATTTCTCCAACAGAAAATTCATCTGCATCAGAAGAATTTTATTGTGCCCTTACCGTTTCTAATAACATCCAAACACAGAAA